CATTTGGAAGGTACTTGTTATTTAATTATATACAAACTTTAATGAATCTCTTGCAGTATTGGTGACACTGAATTGATGGATAATACATTTTATTAATTATATCACTTATACTGCAAGAGACTCGCTTTAATTGTTTCCATAATTATGTCTGAATTAACTACTTTTTATACGGTTTTAATAATAACATGCAGTGCTTTAGATATTTTTGGTGGTAACAAAGTTAAGTTTGAAGATTGTGTCGCGTGGAATACAAAAAATTAATAAGTTTGGATCATAAAGTTCAAGTAGAGTATAATAATAAACCGTTTTACTAAATATATATATATTTAAATATATACCAAAAAATTATTAAAAAATTAAATTTATTTTATTTTATTTTTTATTTTTATTTATTTATTTTTTTTGACTAGGTCAAATTAAAAAATTTATTAATAAAATATATAAAACATTAAATTTTGATATTGTATAGCAGTTTTAAAATTAAGCTCATTTAAAAATTTCTAACGCTAGTAATATTTTATTAAAAATTTCAAGGCAATAGTTTTTTATATTACTGGTAGCCTTACGGCGTAGAATAAGAGAAATGACTAAAATTTTCTTATGGTTTTTGAAGCTTTGTCAGATGAATTCTACGAACATAATTCGTCCTTCACTACAAGAATGCGTGAGATTACGATTCATTTCACTATCTGGAATTCTCAAAATTAACGATAATATTGAGTTTGACCGATTAAAGACTTAGCGATGAAATGCTTTGGTTAACGTTTTCGAAAGACAGCTGTATTGATGATGGTTTCACATGATGCACACGCTTCCTCACACACATATTGTTACACAGCAATAATAGACGTACATACGTACGTACAGCATCGGTATTTCGATATAAAAACGTGGACGTGAATATGATCATTGCAAAAAAATGCGTGTTAGCGAGCAACGTTATGTACCAAAGAGAAAGGCTCGGGAACCTTATTCTAAACAGGAGTTAGTTGGTAGAGGTGCTTATGGCTCTGTTTATAAAGGGTAAATATTTTTCTAATTGCTATATTCTTTTTCAAGATTACATTGTTACTTACAAAAAACCATTTATTCTAGTATAAATAACAACACAAACCAAGTTGTAGCCATAAAAGTGTTAAATTTGGATACCGAAGAAGACGATGTTGGAGATATTATAAAAGAAATAAATTTACTTTCATTACTTAATAGTGAATCGCAGAACATTACTAGATATTATGGAAGTTTCCTTCACGGTACAAAGTTATGGATTATTATGGAATATGCGGCTGGTGGGAGCATTAGGACTTTAGTGCGTATATTACTATGATTAGTTTTGTTGGAAATTTTGGGGGTAATTATTAAATCATACTTTGCATTTGTTAGTTGAAAGCTGGAGCGATAGAAGAAAAATATATATCTATTATTACGAGAGAGGTTTTACTAGCGATAAGTTATTTACATAAGTGTAAAATTATTCATCGGGATATAAAGGGTAATTCAAAATAATCTAGTGCTAATTGTTAATATACTTTAGAATTTAAAATAATTATTTATATTATAGCGGCAAACATTTTGCTAACGGCCGAAGGAAAAGTACAACTTTGCGATTTCGGCGTTGCTGGGCAGTTGACTGCCTCAAATGCAAAACGTACTTCGTTTGTTGGTACACCGTAAATATATGTGCAAATTAAATTATCATTTAAAAAAAAAGTTAATAAATTATGTACTGACTTTTTTTTTTTTTTATGATTAGATATTGGATGGCGCCCGAAGTAATCACCGAAGGTGCTGCATATGACACTAAGGTTAGGCTGATTTTTTTTTTGCTAGTAACTCTTAAAGATAGCATCTTATATTTCTCTCTAATCTGATTGCGGATAATCAATTGACTTAGGCTGATATATGGTCATTAGGTATTACTGTATACGAAATCACAACCGGTAATCCACCATATCATGATCAAAGTGCAATGAGAGCTATTCAACTTATTCCTAAGAATAGGCCAGCTACACTTGAAGGTCCTTATTCTGCACCATTAAAAGAGTTTGTAGCCATTTGTCTCAATGAAATATCTGAAGACGTATGTTATAGTGTCAGTTTAAGTTTGTTATAGTCGCATATAACTAAAAATATTAAATTATACACACTTACAGCGTCCGACGGCAGATGAATTAATGAAAACTAAATTCATAAAGAGTTCCTCAAAGCATCCAAATGGAATATTGCGTGATCTCATTGCACGATTTGAGCAATGGAAACAAACAACCGGTTATCGACAGTCTTTTTCTGATCCATACGGAACTCCATCGAGGTAATATATAAATGTGTTATCCGATTTAATATTTGTAGACAATATAATCAATCTTGATTTATTTAGTGAAAGCGATTCTTACGATTTTGAAGATGGTCAAAAAGAAGAGGAGGATGCATGGGTATTTGATGTAAGTTAAATTCCTACATTTTGATTCATTGCCATTAATTGAGGATTAATTGGGATAAATTTTTTTTTTTATCAGACAGTACAAAATACTGTTACACATCGCAAATCGCGTTCTTTAGGGTCATTACACAATAGCGGTTCAGATCAGTTGTCTCCTGTTATCGAAGACGAAGAGCACATGGGGTTAACGATAGACAATAAACTAAAAACTCAGGAGAACGAAGATGTAGATCGAACAATTTTGCCCAAAGACAACACCGTCAGATATGGACGAATTCTTGCTGACGGACTTCTTTCTCCTTCTACTCCGATATTTCAACGTAAATATTCAGAGTCTCATCATCCATTACTCCAACTTTTTCAAAATGAAGAAAAAACACAACTGGACAATATGTCGAAAGAATCTTCACCAGCAGGTAGTTTTCGAAATCCAACGATAACTATACCTCCTATGAATATTATGTCTCTGATGCCGCGCATGGAGGACTCACCTTCAATATCGATGGATATGAATATAAAGTTAAACGATGATGGACTAGAAAACAATTCTTTTGACAGAAAATCGAAATCATCTTTATCAACATCAGATTTATCTTCTACTGATTCAACATTTACCCGAATTGACACGCCGACTTCAATTGAAATTGTTGTTCCCACTGTTAATTCACAAACAGCAACAGATTCTGCCCCCAAAATTATTTCATCTCAACCAGAGCCTAATGGCCTTCTGTCACCCACCTCTATATCAGTTACAAAACATATTCCAAAAAGAGAAGAAAGTGGTTATTTTTCGATTAATCATGGACAATTAAACGATTTACCAGAAAATAAAATGTCTAATTCTTCAGTACATGATAATAATATTTCAGGAGGATTGTTAACACCGCCACCAATGGGTCATACGACTTCTAAGTCAGTCAGTGATGTATTCAATCATTCATATTCAGCATCACCAGGAAAATTGAATCATGTTAAGCATAATCCTACAAGGCATGGAAGTTACGATAATCAAATGGATCCATCTATAGGATTTCCGCTTCATAAACCAAATAGTCAAGGAAAAATGTATCCACCACAACCAGCACGTCGTGTAAGATCTGCAACAACGTTAAATGTAAGTCGTCAAACGAATGAGGATTCAGCTATGAAGTCTAGGCATCAGCAAAAAGATAGTAAGGGAAGTGAATTCGGTGGAAACTTAGGAGTAGGAATACCTAGACAAAGAGCCACTAGTGTAAGCCACGTGCTACGACCTTCAAAATCAAAAGTAAATATTTGCAATCATTAAATCATCTGAATTTGATAGCTTTGAAAATATATTTGTCTAATTATTTGTCATTTTTCCTAAAAAAAAATATATATGTATAGCTTTCGCTTGTTGAGGATACTTCAACTTCGACACATTTGTTACCACCATCCCCGTCTACCGCCAAATTTCTTAATAATTCAAGCTTACCTTCTCAAGGATCACCCACACGGCCAATATTTCCCAGTCAATCATCAATAATATTAAATACAGGGCCTGAGCTTCGTCCATTAAAAATGGATAATTATCGGGGTACTAGTGAAGTTTATGAAGACTTAACAAAAACTACAGACGATCTTTTACAATGGATGACGCTTTTAGAAGCTGGTATTAATCAGCTAATGACACGATTTTGAACTTAAACAGATATTTTATCGTTTTCAATTCATATTCGGAAAAATATTTTAACCAATGAATTGAAGAAATTTAATCGAATAACTTAATTATTTGAATACGTTGAAGTATTTGAATTGACTATTAATACGCTAACATAAATTTTTTTATTGGTTTATAATGCGAATATAATCTTTAAAATTCCTGTCAGGAATTTTACAATGTAAAAACAAAACATCATTTTTAAAATGCTTAATAAAAATAAATAAAAAATAAAAAATACGAATAAAATTAAAAATAAAAAATCAGTTGTAAATCTAATGTAATAAATGAACATTTCTTTTTTGAATTTTACGACTAAATTTTTTGCATAATATACATGATTTTTTGGTCTTTTTCAAATATATTACAGTAATGACACCCGTAAAAGTATGGGTAACTAAAATTAAACCGCTATTAGGCATGGGCGAAACGTTCGCTATATCATGAAGAAATGGTATCCGACGACAATGATGTAGCGCCAAAATTCTAAGTCTGTATTGTTAGAGAACGCAATAACGGTTGACGATAATCGTTACAAAAAGGGCACTCTGTAATATTAAAAAATAGATCGTGGCCGTGTTTGCTTATGCTACGATGCTTTCGAATGGCGGAAGAAAAATGATAAAGTTCTTTGTAAAAGTATTAAAATGTTAAGGAAAAAGGGTAATGTGAAAAGCCAAAGGGAAAACGATGTGATTTATTGGATGAAAAAGATCCCAGTTCGTGTTCCAGGTTCAAATAAGAATTTCATGTTCCATACTGCTATACTCACGTCAAATCGTAAATTTTCCTTTATAAACATCGGATAACGTCGGTTTTCGTGGAGTAACATCGTATTATTCTTTTTGCTGGTGATTGTTCTTCGTATTTCCGATAGTCGCATAAGGCCGCAATTGGCATTCGTAAATCTATTATGTACGGTCGACTCTCTCTAAGTACAGCTCGCTGGGACTTAGAAAATTTTCTTAAGTAAAAAAAAAAATCTTGCACTTAAAGAGAACCTGCATTTAGAGATTATATGTTTATTATAACCTTATATAGCTTGGAACCGAAGCTAAATCTGCAATTTAGAGAGAATTTAATGTAACTGCATTTATGGAGCATGCATTTAGAGAGAGCCGACTGTACAATAACAAAAAAAAAAGAATAATAATAAAGCAAGTGGTGTTCAACATCATATAATTTTATTTACGATTAGGGTTTTAGGTTAGGATAAGGTTGAGGTTAGAGTCAAGGAAGGCTTTTTGAAGGTGAACATTTTTATTTAGGTCAATTGCTTAGCTACATAAATTTTTAATATATAGTAATTGGGGTGTTGGTCTGTTTTAGTAAACTAAATAAATACTGAAAATTGTCGGATATTAATATTGCTTATTTCGTCACGCGAATCTTCTATTCCAAGAGCTTGTTAACTGGATCTATTCACTTATCAAAAAGCTGGATACTTTTATAAAACTTCTCATAGTAAACTTAGAATTTTATTAAGCCAATATAACTCTAACAGCTGATTAGACATTTTAAGGAAGGCAGGACAAAGAACTGAGATGAAAAATCAAGGCTGTTGTTTTCGATAAGATTTGCTAAGGTAGGTACGTAACCGATTCCTTTTCCAGAATCGGTAGGCTTAAACGAGCGTAAACAAACTTCCATTCCTGAGAGTCGTTCGCAAACGTAATACTGACTTTTCTCTTGTTTGGCGCGTTTAAAAGTTATTTCAAATAATTAAAAAAGATGGATAAATTAGTGATATTATCTGCGAAGACGCATAAGTTGAGATTAAACACCATGTCGAACATTCCAGCAGACTATGTATTAGCTTTAGTCCCATGGAATACTAAACATCCACAAACCAGGCAAACGCTTATTACTGCAAGTGATAAAACCCAAAAAGAAATTCTCATATCGACATTTAAATCATGTGTAAAATGAGATCGAAAGCTTTTTTCAAAAAATCGCTGATAATTCTAATAAGTAAATTTTCTTGCAAAATTTAAGATCTTTATATAGGCGACGTCATTGATACCATATTTGCGCGAAATAATGCTCGCAGGCATGATTTTGAGACAGGCAATCTAAAGAGAGCTCGTAATTAATATCGATGATTTTTTTAAAAACCACGCATTCGGTTAAATTAATTATTAGCTCTCTTTAAATTGCATGTCTCAAAATAATGACCAAATGTTATTTTGTGCAAATACGGTAAATGTATTATTAATCAATTGATAGTTTAGTGGTGTCACCTCTGCTGCAAAAGATTCCAAAATTTTAGCTTTAACCTGGTTCTAAAGTCGCGTACATATTTACTGTATTATTAATGTAAATAAACAAATAAATTGATGTTTTGTTTCTTTTTTTGGGTTTGTATCACTTGTAGAAACCCTTAAATGTTTTCTCAAATATTGAAAGGACTTATCATCGCGTGATTATCGTCTCTGTTCGCCCCCACTTAGTTATCTAATATTAGTCCAATATATTGCTATCGTTAATTTTGTGTGTGTTTAGTGTTTAAGCAATTCCAATTTTAGGAACATTTAAAAAAGATGAATTATGTGTTACACGAATTTCCCCGAACAATTTTTAAAAAAATGTTTTTTTGAATCGTGCAATCTTATTGGCTTAATCGCCATAACCGCCGGTGACAAATAAATTTCCTCATCTAAAAAAATATCTTTCTGAAAATAAAAGCTTTTGATATATAGTTATAAATCAATCATCCATTAATTAAAGAAATTCTCAATTACCATATATTTAGTCCGCTTGCGCTTGATAGGATTGATTTTGGATCTCAAATCCGCACTAACGTGCAAGGTGTAACCTTTTTTAGAAAGCAAAGTATATATTTTTTCTAAATAACGATTAAACTGTTAAAATCATTCTTTCGTACCATTTTACTCTTTTGTAATATTTAAATAGCAATGCTCAATTACTCTTAGCACTTCATCGCACAAAAGTAAAATATTCATGTGCGATAACAAAATTAATAATTCAATTTATTTGTAACAAACAAAATTCGATTTCCAATATTAAACAATTGAACAAAAACTAACTTGTGCAAAATTAATATCGTTTGAAGTTGAAAGTAAATTAGAAATATCAATGACCAATGATGAAGATTATAAAGAAACGAAATCCATAATAAACAAAAATCTTCAATCATCATCATAAGATCTAATAGTGGAACAAATTTTTTCGGAAAGAAAAATTTATCAAGATTAGGAGAGTGTGTTGAGATTACAATTTAAAATAACACATAATTTATGTAATTTTACCTCGGATAAGACCAACGATCGGTATCGAAAGGATGTATTGCCTCCACTTCAAGCGTCAAAAACTCTTTAAGAGGATCCAAAAAGTCCGATGGAAAATTAGAACTTTTTATAATGTACTCTTTATTACTTCCATCGTATTGTAGTGTTTTTAATGGGAATTTTTTTCTTCGGATAAATTCACATACAACTATGAGATGAAATTTATTAATTCCACATGGTTGATTTAATCCAAGTATCGTTATTGGTGCAATACAGCCTCTGAAAAATTTCACTACGTCATCCGGGGTGGCTATGTATTCGGTATGTAAATGTTGCAAGAATATCGGAAGTGACGGTCCTAATCGTACGTAAAAGTCATGGTGATAAATTGAGACAAATCTTTTTGACACGTGACAAAACGCTAAATATTCTAAATTTTGAAGATCTTGCAACAATTCAATTGAATCGTAAGGTTGTGATGTGATTCCCAAAACGAGGTGACGAAGCTGACGGCAACGTGGTGATAACGTTGACAATACATCTAATGGTGCAGTGTCCAATATTAAAGTAGTCAACGTAGAGCTTGCAGCGGAAAAAAGTAATCGTAGATTTTCGGGATGAATAATGTTGTTTTTGCAAAAAAAATGTATAATTTGCAGGGAACTTAAATCCAAATTAAGTGGTTGTTCATGTTGCTTACAGCCAATAAGCACAAGTTTGTTTAGCACTTTGCAAGTGGATAGAATATGAAAGAAAGTGTTGGGAAGGCTCGTGTGAAATATGTCCATCTCTTCCAAAGAAGAGTTACCTTGAAGGGCAGCCAAGAGTTTGTCGATTAACGGAACATTATTTCCAGTAGAAAAGTGAACTTTGATAAGTTGATCTTGGGCTTTTACTAATTTTGGTAAACAATCATGAAATAATTGTGATTCTTCACCCACGCGAATATATAAAGATCTAATTTCGTGACAACGTGACGCCCAAATCTTTATAAGATACGAAAGATTATGCAAATCAATTAAATTTGTTATACGTGAATTATAGTCCACCCGCGCGATATGAAGTTCGTTGATCCGTTGAACACACCGAACATAAGCCCACGGCGTTATATCTTGAAGAACACTGATCCACGGAGAATCTTTGATCGCGATTTTATTTAGGAAACAGTTGACAAAAACCACTCGAAGAATTTCCGCTGACAGATGAGTACAAAATACTATCAATGGATCACCAGGAAACGGTAAATTAACTTCAGCAGTTGCATATCTTGTTATCCAACGTGATATACCTCGACTCAACTGGTCCAACTTAAGTACTTTTATAAATGACGGATAATTGAAATGTGGTTGGGGAGCAGTTGGCAAAATAATTCCGTAACGGATAAGATGTGGTTTCGATACATCTGGGAGGCAACTCACCAAAGTATTGACAAGCGCAGTAACTTGTCGCGTACTTAAATTTTCGTCAAAAGGATCTGACCATAATAACATCACGGCATGAGTTACCAAAACGCGATTTACCAAAGCACAAGAATGTAAAGTTAGTCTATCATTTTTAAAATTTTTTAATATAAGAAACCATATATCTAATGACAAAGGTGGCGCCATTTGAGATGGGGAGAGTGTAAAACCCTATCATTTACAAGAATGGAACATTTTTATAGTAAACCAAGATTATCAAACAATTATCAAACGTGACGTAAGATATAATGAATGCGCTTGTCAACAATACAACAATCATAACTCCGGAATTATCATAAATTAACGGTAATACGATTAATACGATTCACCAACAGATAATAAAATTATCAACATTTATAATAATAATAATGATGATAAAGGAAAAAACCATGAAAATTTTATTAAAATGATTTTTTTGATATATGTATATATATATATTGATTTATCAATGTATCGATATCGATATATCAAATTTCGATATCGTGTATCGATATTTCAGTATTTTAGTATTTAGGGATTTATAAATATATCACATTTGTAAATTAATGCCATAATTCATCTACTTCTAAATGGTCCGATATCTGTAACATTGCCATCTTGTAAACTTTTCTATATTGTTCTATTGGACCACCAATTCTACGCCAATCTAACTCTAAAGCACTCCTGATCAATTTTCTAACAAATAATTCACGTTCTACCAGATCAGTTGCCATTCTTCTCCAATCTTCCACAGCATCGGATAGCGCAGATTTCACTCCCTGAATTGATGAATCAATAAATTCTTCATCTAATTCATAAAGATAAGAATTATAATCATTTATTGTCTTGTCTTCATATATTGTTTTATTTATTAAAACATCATTTAAGTCTCCCATATCGATATCAGAACTGACCACTGGTGTACCAAACAGCAGTGCTTCCGCTGCAACTAATCCAAGATCTTCTGATGGGTCTGGAACGTATTGAATATCAGCTGCTGCATAAAGATGAACCCCCCACTTTTCACGAATTTCAGGTTCATAAATAATAATCAAATGATCAGCATAATTTTCTATCATTTTTTTCAATTTTACAACTGGATATCTGTTTCGTTGTCCCATTATCACAAATTTTGCATCCAAAGTTGCCAGAGTATTCGTTGCCTCCACAAAAAATTGAAATCCCGTGATTTGAAATTTTCCATCGAATAAAACCAACGGACGTTCAAGATCATCTTCATTCAGCAGTCCTTCGCTAATCAAATATTTCTTAGCGTTGAGTTTTGATACAGCTATCAAATCTTGTGGCGAAATGTTTAAACTATTGTCATAAAAATCCAATGGATCTAAAATATCAAGGTTTTCTGGAAAAGTCGCATTGCTTATTTCGAGCAACTGATTTTTAAAAGGATTGGGCTCTGTAACATCAAATCCATATGATATACCAACCCAACGTCCTATTTTTGCCTTGTTAAGAATATTTGGCAATACGAGTTCTTTCAGGTCGAAATCCAATGGACCTTCCACCATTTCACGAGCTATCTCTTCTGACATAAACGTAGCCATTTGTGATTTGTCAACCGCAAGCGAAGATACAAATAACCTATTTTCACGAATATACTGTGAATTTTCATATTCAAATTGATTCATATCTTGTATTTCCAAGAACTTATTCACGTCTCCGAGATCATATGAATGAAGATGATCATCATAGTAATTGTACAATGTATAAACTATTGATGGATCTTTTCTTTTAAAATTTGCCTGTTCATTTGATATTTTTAAAAATTCAATAACCATAGCATTTGTCGTACTATGTATGTGTACTACATCTACACCACGACTTTCGCGTTTAGCGAAAAGGGGTGTATCGAGCATAGTATTCCTGTAAGTTATGAATTCTGCTGCAGCTTTACAAAAATATAAATCTTTCCATTCTAAAGGCAGTGACTTTTTTGGTGTGTATAAATTATCAGCAACATCTATTTTGAATGCCTGATTTAGTGATGGCATATCTGATGGAGAACCGATCATAAAAACATTAATTGTCCCTTGTGAATTATTTCTATCTACATTTAACAAGAATTTGTAAGTTGTAAAATGGGCAACTTTCCATTGACCATCAGTATCTCGAACTTTAACTCCTAGTTGAACATTTTTAGTGACTTTATATTTCTGTTTCAAAAAGGAATAATATGGCATAATTACGTTGACATTCATTGAACTATTAGCTGCCTGAGCTTTTGCAAGACCTGTGACTATTTTACCCAGGCTTCCTTCTGTAGCCACCCCAAATTCTTTAGATACATGGTAAATTGTGGTTCCGGGTGGTAATTCAGATGTTACATTAGAATCGATTCCAAGATATTTGACTGGCGAGTAAATTCGCTTATCTATATATATAATTTATATAATTAATGCATTACTTTATACGTATGCATTTGCTACCGATAATTATTAACAAGAAATCTTGAAAACTTACCAACAAAATGCTCTGGTCCTATTGGCTGTTTTATGTTCTTGTTTAATGTGATTCCACTAGTCATCAAGTACATGACAAGCATTATACATATTATGGACAAATATCCCAAGCTTTTATTATCGAAATAGTATACAAAAAAAAACAACTTATAGATCCTTCTTTTTAGTGTATTCCAAGTCCCATTATTCATATGCCTATGCTTTGAATAATAGCTATTGTAACTTGTAACATGGGTGTATTTTGTTGGTTGTCTATTGAATGACGATAAAAGTAAGTGATCATGATTCGAATTTAATGGTGTATATTGGTCGAATTGTGATCGAAGTCTCGGTTGTGTATACATTTTATATTAAAATGTATTTTTATATTATAGTCGAAAGTATTATGTATTAGTTATGATGGATTCGAGATTTTTTGGAAAACGGGATTATCGAGAGAAAGTAAAAAAGATTGACAATTATTAACATATGTTCGTTTCGACCAAAACGAAAGGGATAGAAAAGATTTTAATGCTCATATTGAATTTGTGACTGCTTTTAATTCTGATTCGTTTCATGTAATAAACAGTGTTACCTTTACCAAAACATAATTTGTTGATTATATGCGTCGTAACAATTTGTAACCGAATATGTATATCATTGTTTAACAATCTAGGATATGTCTAATATATAAATGAAAGATGCCGAGATGAAATACATTTCATTCTTTAATAGCTATAGTTAGCAGGGGCCGTCAAAATTTTTAAAATTACAGCAGTTTTCATAAATGAGTGACGAAAAGGGAAAACTTGTAAATCATTTCACTTATTTGAGTGAAATGATTTACCGTTACAGGTTTTCCCCTTTTCGTCACTCAAATTCGGGAAAATCTGACAAAAATTGACCGACCGAATATTTGCCAATTCAATAAGTTTTGATTCAGCTGAATCAAAGTTTATCGAATTGGCAATTATATTCGGTCGGTCAATTTTTGCCAGATTTTCCTGAATTTATGAAAACTGCTGTAAATGCGGGCCGGGCTGAGCTACAAAAATAGGTAATTTGCCCGCAAAATTTATTATAAAATTTTCAAAAATTTTTGGCCGCCTGGCCAGGCCCGCAGATACTTTAGGTTCGGGGCGGGCTATGGGACCCAATGCAGACCTCTAGATATAGTGTACGTATTATATCTGATATGTACGTACGTATTATGCTAATTTTAAGAATGACATTACACGTGATCAAGTTTTTTTACATGTACTGTATATCTACCTATATATGGGGGGTGCCAGTAGAAACCAAGCAAATTGTTTTTAGTGAGTTTTTTAAACCAAACTTTATCACAAAATTTTTTTATCTTAATTCTATAACTATAGAATTAAAATAAAAAAATTTTCATCAAGTTTGGTTTAATAGTCGTTGGGATATTTTAATTTAAAGTTTAAAAAAACATTTACTTAAAAACAATTTGCTTGATTTCTACTGACACCCCCATAATATAGCTGGCATGAAAATTAACCCACAAAAAAGTGCAATTTTTAACCAATTAAAATACAGTATTAGGTAGGTGTGGTTAGAGTGTGATAGAGGTGTGACACTTATACATGGGTGACTAAATTTGGGATGATTTGTGGCATTACGGCATTACGGTATTTTTTATATTTTCGGCATGCTGCTTCAAAATGCCTAAATGCCGAAAATAATTACGGCAGCCGAAAATATTTTCGACTGCCATAATTATTTTGGGCTGCCGTAATTTTTTTGAGCCGCCATAATTGTTCGGCTACCATAATTATTTTCGGCTGCCGAAATTATTTCGGTTGTCGAAAATATAAATTCATAATTTATCCTCGAGGCGATAGTAAAAAAAATGAAATTAGAGAAAGTACGCATATATAGAAAACAAATATTTAGAGCTCTTATAAGTCGGGACTAAACTATACCATGCACTTAGAGAGAGTTCACATAGTGGGTGCGACTGTAATTCGCTATGCGAGATACCTAGATACGTTAAATTTCACGTGGTAAAAATTTGATTTGTACCCCGGATACGTTGTATGGCGGAGGGTACGTTTCATAGGAGGACTTTCGTATGATTGGCTGTTTAAATCAATTTAATTTTACATTATTTATACAGTTTAAAGTACTTTT